TTGATAAATTATGGTAGGAAGACGCTATTAGGAAAACTATTTGAAGCGCTGAATGTGTTAATATTTGTTGTGGCCATGATGTTAGCAATTAATTCCATAATTTTAAGCTTAATAGCTTGCTAACCAAAAAACATCATCATGATCAGCACTGGTACCTATTAATTGAACATATTTGTGGCTATGGTACTTCTCCAGCTTTTATAGCTGCTGTTGCCATTTGGACTACACTAATCATTTTAGGTCTTGCAATTTGCTATCATTGCCGTTCATTACCTTATAACTTAAACGATGCAAGATATACTTTCATAGCTTGCACTTTGTATTCTTTTACTATTATTATTACGACTCCGGCCCTAGCATTTACATCTAAAAAATTTCATGATATAGTAGCAGCTGTTATCTCATTAAGTAATGGGTTTATAACATTAGTATGATGCTACTTGCCAATAATATATGCTATTTATTATCGACCTGAATTAAATACTCGACGAAATGATATCGATGAAATTACAAATTATACAATTTTTAAAAACTTTAGACAGCTTGAAATAGCGGTAAAGAGAGCATCTAATATTGATCTACTTGGAAACATGAGTAAGGCGCAAAATTAGGGTAGTATTTTAGCGCAAATACAGAAGTTCATTCTAAAAAGCTACTGAAAATGCCTTTCAATAATTAGTTGCAATAAAATGTTATTATTACTACTACTCTCCATGTTTTCTTGGTAACAATATTATGGACAAAACCGATAATTCTAAATGTAAGGCTGGTAAATTAACAATATTTGGTGATACATCACCGCTTATATAACATCTATGTGTTTAAAATGATGCTAGCTTTTAATATCTATAATAATATACAGAAGAAATGAAGTAATTGAAGACTCTATCAAAATATGAGTCAGTAATCTAATTTTTGTAGTTGATATTTGAAAATAAGTTAAAAAATTACTATCTACCCTGTAATGATATATTTAAGAGTACATGTTCTACAGACATGCATACGTATTACAATAGTTGCAAGTATTAATCCTATAAATGAAGTTCTTTTTCTATAGATGTTCTATTACAGGCAATTGTTTTAGAATGCTATAATACTAGCATTTATAATAACTTGAAATAAAATAGTTCAACAGCAATGGGCGATACTTAATAAATAATCTATATCATATAATATAATTTTGGCATATCAGAAAAATAAATAATGCATGTGTAATGTAACTAGTATTGTGATTGTAGACTATTAGCCATGTTTAGTATAATGTACGGTAGATATTTATCCTGAGAGATATTTGGTAGCTATAACTATAGACGGTAGTGGCATAGACTCTATGCTAGAGTACAGATGACTATATCCAGTAAGGTGTTGAGTTACTAATAAGGTTATAGGTAAAAATAGAACTGTAAATCATATATTAGGAAATGGTT